AAAAGTGAGAAAACTTGTGGGTTGAGATAAGAACAGTTTAATATAATAATTGAAATAAAATAATAATAACAACAACAATAGTAATGTAGAAGTAGTAATAATAATAATATACAGAGCAAGTGATGCACAGTGCAATTGCTCACCACCTTCCGACCGATGTCCCCGAGCAGCGGCCCCCCCGGCCAGCTCCCCCCAGTTTATGTACTGAGCATGACGTCCCATGGTGTGGAATGTCCCTTTGGCCAGTTGGGGTCAGCTGTCCTGGCTGTGCCCCCTCCCAGCTTCTTGTGCACCTCCAGCCTTCTCAGTCGGTAGAGCATGGGAAGCTGAAAAGTCCTTGGCTAGTGTAAGCATTACCTAGCAACAACTAAAACATCGGTGTGTTATCAACTTTGTTCTGGTCCTAAATCCAAAACACAGCGCTGTACCAGCTACTAGGAAGGAAATTAACTCTATCCGTGCCCGACACCAGGACAGACTTAAAACATGAACCTGGCAGCCAGGAGACATGCCCCGTTCCTGGCTTTACTCCATCTGTACATAAGTCAGCACTGCTGGCTATCAGCTGCCAATGCGTGTGGGTGGTGAAACTCCATTCACTGATATTTGAAAACATTTGTTTTTATCTTTATTAAATCCACTGATTGAGAGTTAGTAATGCTGTCATGTTTCTTTGCTCATATTGATTCAAAAGCTTCTTCCATGTAGTTCCAGTTTTTCTTTGTGTAGCTGTTTTACCTTTGTGTAGCAGCTTCCAGTCTTGCTGGAAAAGTCCCTTGGATTTTTTTGCATCACTCTCCCTTTTTGTCAGGAGTTGCAGGACTCTTGTTTGTTTGTGCGTTTGTTTTTTATTCAGGTTTAATTCTTCTTCATTAGAGAAGTAGTATATGGTGAACCGTGTTCCTTTTTTTTTTTTTTTTTTTTGACTGTTACGAATTCAGATGTGCTTTTTGACCTTTTCATTTCCCAGGAGCATAGAGGGGATTATAGCGATAGCGATAAGCTATGTGTATGCTTGCTGGGGCTTTTTTGCTGATGTTTAACAGTAAGCAGTAATAAAGTACGCTCACGTTGTTCGCAAGCCAAATAGTGTCAACCCAAACGTCTTTTTACATAGGAAGATAAGCAAGGACTGATCTACATCTCATGCCTTCTCTTGAATCCTAAGCCTGTTGCTCCATGGGCGGATCCATGGAGAAGAAAACCAACCAGACTCTTAGAGATATATGGAACAAGGCACAAACCAACTTTTAATTAATCCCTTAATTTAAGGTAAATACCTGCTTCAGAATTGGAATTGGAGTAGAACAGTAGAGGAATAAGGGGAATCCTGAGCATGTGTCTTATGAATGGCACTTTCTGAAGAGACTCTGGAAGGAAGGTCGCTGCAGTCTTTTCCACATAGGTTGAAAGTCTTTATTAAATCATCAGAAAAGACAAGATAAACCACTTTAACCTGTCTCCGATTTGTCTTCCTTACTTGCTGTTGTTGTCAGTTAGGTTTTGGGTTTTTTTGGATGCAATTGCAGACAGGTATTTTAGAGTTCCTTTATAACCTTTAACTCGGCCAGGTGAATAAAAATCAAATACTCTTCAATAAGCAGTGTTGCTGAACCTGGTCAGCTTTGGGGTTTTATCTGTTAGCAGAAACGGAGTTCTTTATGGAATATTGACTAGTCTTTTTATGAGATTAGGAATTTTCCAGTGAGGACATTATTAACCTAAGTCGTGAATAAAGGTGTGTTATATATCCAAAGAGAAACTTATACTATGATAGTGTAATTCAGTGATTGGTTTTCTCAAGGAGCATGTCGTTTCTTTGTTCCTCGTTCAGCATTTTGCAGCAGTTTTGCATTTGAGTAGTCTTCAATTTTGCATGAGGTGTGGCAGAAGGGGTCTACTTACACTTTAAAATATTGATAGAGATGGTGCATGCAAAATTCCTGTAATTCTCAAAGTATGGTTTAAAAGAATATCGTCTTGTTTTGCTGTTTGAACAGGTAAAACAGCTCAGCATGGTAATTTTATAGATAGTGAGAAGTAATTAACTAGTAGAGGCAGAAATTTCCTAGAGCTTTGAATGTATCATGTTGATGAAATGTGATGAGTTAGGGCTGAGGATAATTTTAATAAACTTGAGCAATAAAATAATGAGTATTAGAAGAAGTCTTCTGACTCCTGTACTCACATTCTTAAGCTGGAATTTTCGTGTAACTATTTTGTTCTTAGGTTTGAGATTTTTGCTGTTGTTTCTTTTTAAGGAAATAGTAATTTTGCCTCTAGTTTAGATTGCTTCCATTTGCCTTTTTAGATTGCTTCCATTTGGTTTTGACAAATGGTTTTCTTCTTTTCTGAATAAGCAAAAGTGGGTGGATTATATGACTCTGTACTTTGACATAACAAACTTCATAGAGCTTTCTTGAAGTTCTTTAGTACTGGGAGGTTATTCTAGGCCTCTGCAAATGTATGGATTTTCCAATAATGTGGTATGGTGGGTTGACCCTGGCTGGA